AATGTTATTCTATCATACTTGCTTATAATCATGATCACAAAACGTCTCAGCAATCATCGTCGCGCCTTTTGCACGACCGGTTAACGCGCTTGTGTCTAAGGGTTGTAAACTGTATAGAACCTTAGGCGTGCTAAGCTGTTAATTCTCGAATTTGGGAAATAAAGAGGAAATTTTTCTGAGTGCTGGAGATGCTATGATGGGCTATAAAAACACTACATCAAACACCGACTAATCTGTTTTTCTCCGTTGCAGCATCAGGACTTGATAGTGACCAGAGCGACGGGCAGCGAACTGCATCCAAAGCCGGGACCGAACGAAAACTTGAGATTTGGACATCAATACTCCGATCACATGTCATTCGCTGATTGGAACGAAAAAGAGGGATGGTCGTATCCGCAGATTACTCCTTTGAAACAAATTGCCATCCATCCTGGAGCAAAGGTAAATTTTCCACCGACTATGGGATGCTAGTAACTATACAGCCTCATGCTGCCTCAATCTTCATTTTCCCGCAATTTTTAGACAAGTTGTAAAAAGTCTTTGTCAAACAGTGCTTTTGAGCTCATGTCCAACTCTTCTTCTTCCCATCATCTACGTTGCAGGAATACTCTGCTCCAAACTGTAACCTCCCTTTCCAAGGATCCTTCCTTTCACCTCTCCTAAAACTAAACTATCGAGCACTGATTTTATGCGATTCCAAAGCGTTAGCCAATGGATTTTTGTTTTTGCTAGAGTCACCAAAGACCTATGATTTCTTAGCAAAAAAGAACAACATCTTCGCTTCCGTTTCTGGTTTCTTGCAAATTCTATTGACACATTTCCGATATCACGTTATCCTAGTAGAAGAGCATTGATCAAATCTATCTTGTTTTTCTTCATCCTCTACGACCCCATTTCTTTCGATCAAAACAAATCGTAAATCATGAATGAATGGATACATCAAAGTCTGCAAGGAACTTACAAATTATGAGTATCTGAGAGTGATTTTTAAAGGTCTTGCACTACGCCAGTGAACTCTTCGAAGGAATGAAGGCATACAGGGGTGTGGATAACAAAATTCGATTGTTTCGTCCTGATATGAACATGGCTCGAATGAGGAGAACAGCTCGTCGAGCGGCTCTGCCTGTGAGTCAGCTTTGCTTGTACGGTCATTGCACTTGAACCCTAGTTTGACAAGTGTGAAAAATTGACATAATTGATGTGCATGAAATTGTGACCTCTTACTTCAAGCCACGTGTCTTGCCAAAGAATCTCCAAAATTTTAGGATTTCGATGCGGAAGAGTTGATCAAAATCATCTGCGAGCAAGTATCACTTGACCAAGACTGGGTTCCGCATTCGACCACCTCTTCGCTCTACATCAGGCCTACACTCATCGGAACTGATGTAAGTTCACTAGTTTCCGAATTTTTCGTTCCTTTGTCACCTCAGCCTCAAAAAAAAAACTACTTTTTCAGCCCACACTCGGGGTCGGCTTCCCAACTGCAGCCAAGCTTTTCGTTCTCACAGGACCTGTTGGAGCCTACTATGCTACCGGTTTCCAACCTGTTCGACTTCTTGCCGATGCGCAGTATGTGAGGGCATTTCCTGGAGGCGTTGGAGCCTTCAAAATGGGATGGTACGTTTGTTATTTTCTTCTTTTTTCACCGCTACTGATCTTTCATTTTTTTCAGCAATTACGCCCCAACGATTTGGGTTGGCAAGGAAGCGGCTGCGAAAAATTGTCAGCAAGTCCTTTGGCTTTACGGTGATCATGAAGAGATCACTGAAGTTGGCACCATGAACATCTTCGTGTACTGGAAGAATGAGGAAGGAGGTTAGTTTCTTCAATTTTTGAGATTTTTCTCAGCCTGAAAAAGTTATAAAATGTGACAAAAATCGAAAAATTTCCAAAAACCAGTTTTTTATTATTTTATTTGCCATAGTCATAGTAAAATTACATTGTATAAGAAAGCTGGTCGTGCGTGTCTGCTGTCGAGGGCAGCGAAGATTGCAACGCTGCTGGCGATAACAGCAGTGACGTAGCAGTGTCAGCAGTCACCTCGGAAAAATCAGAGAATTTTTTTCTTCAGCTCTAACATAAAAAATAGATGTTCAAGGAGGAAAAAATCCGCTTAATCTCACTATAATTGTATTTTTATAGAAATGGAACTTATCACACCTCCACTGGATAGGGGGGTGATCCTTCCCGGAGTCACTCGCGATTCTTTGTTACAACTGGCCAGGGAATGGGGAGAATTCAAAGTTTCCGAAAAAACCTTCTCCACGCACGACCTTAAGAGGGCTTTGGATGAGGGCAGGGTATGTTTGAATATCAAGAAAATTAACTACGAATCTCCCGAAACCGCATTTTTCAGCTGAAAGAAATGTTCGGCGCTGGAACAGCTTGTGTCGTATCTCCGGTTGGACAAATACTCTACAACAACCGCCAGGTAAGCGGAATTAGTAGTGAGAGAAAGCTGAGC